TGATTCTCCCCATTTGCCCCCACAGAAACGCAGACCCCAGGGCTGCCTGCACGGGTGATGGGTGCAGCACAGTCCACCTGGCATGTGGCAGTGAGGTAGTCCCAGATTTTGGGGGCCACGAAGCCCCTGGGAATGCACAATTCCTGTTCTGGAGGAAACACTCCCAGGAGACACACCAGCCACCAGCACGTGTGGGGTTGCAGCCACGGCAAGGCACTGGACATATCACGCTCGATGGGGCATCAATGGGGTTCTCCTGCCCCATCAAGGATGACCAAAGGTGGCACCGTGGTGTGGCAGGACCTTTGGGGCTGTGCCTATGCAGCCTGCTGGGCTGGGGGATCCAGGTGCTTCCATTGCCGTGCTGAGGGGGTCATTGGAGGAGGAGCAGCAGCTCTTGGGACAACCCAAGTCAAGCCTATCCCCCAGCGCAGGCTCTGGATGATGGCACGCCAGGAACCCAAGCAGCTGTACCAGCTTCGGGACTGGTTGAGGACCAGGATGGGAGGCAGAGGGAAGAACTCCAGGGCAACCAAGGCACTGGTGGTGAAACAAGCTCTGAGGTCTCCCAAGGCTGATATGAAGGGTACCAACCCTTGGAGGGGTCCAGTTGTGCTCACAGAGAATGTCTGGCCAACTGGCATGTTCATGGCTAGATGATGGCCGTGGTGGCTACCTGCTCTTGGGATCCATCATCTCCTTGGCAGCACCGAGCAGTTGGAGAGAAGGCAACTCAAAGAGTTAAAAAGCCTACATGGAAAGGGAGCTGGTATGGGCAGAAACACCCCAACCCGACAGTTTGGGGCCAAAGGCCACCCCTCGGCCTGCCAAAGCGTTCCTGACATTTCCCCTATGTTTTTAAAAGCTTTTCCTTTTTTTTTTTTTTCCCTTTTGTTATTCTAAAAAGAAAATAGTTCTCAAAAGTCACATCCAGCTGAAAGACCCAAAGCGTTCGTTCAAAAACAACAAGCCCTGGGACGGTTCTGCAGTGCTGAGTCAGCACGCGGCAGGGCGTGCGCGCCGAGGGAGCCGGAGCAGGGGAAGGAGCCGCCTGGGCCAGCGCCAGCAATGTGCTCGCACGCCGTCCCGCAAGCCAACGCCAAAATATTTGCAGACACCCGCGGCTGGCCGTGCTGAATAAACCGGCGCTCGACCGGACTGAAGCTTCTTGGGTCCACCGCAACCCCTGTCCTGCTCGTGGGTGACACGCTGGATGCCTCCAGGCTCATTTTTTGGGGGTCTCTGGCTTATTTATGGGCTGGCCTCAGGTATTGCTGCCAGATGAGTTGCGGTTAGAGGTGGAGGGGTCTTACCTTGGCCAAACCGGGCCATGCGGTACACCTCCTCAGCGCCTCGGAAGCCCAGCATCCGGCACACCACGTCTCCATCCTTCTTGTCCCAGCCGTCGTCACACACTGTGCCCCAACGCCGGTCGTAGAAGACCTCCACGCGTCCCTCGTGGGAGCCGGAGCCATTCACCAGCCGAATCATTCCCTCCTCGGTGGCTGCTGCCAGGAGGAGAGAGGGAAGTCAGAGGGGTCATGGTGGCATCTCCAAGTGCTGCCCCTTGCCTGCCTTGGACCACCTCCCATGCCCTCCCCATGGTGCCTGCAGCTGCAGAAAGCACTGGGTGATGCACCTCCAGGTGACCAGAGGACATCCCAGCACCACTGGATAGGGTGCCGGAGAGGTCCCATCAAACCCAGGGTTTTGTTGGAGGAGGCTGAGCCTTGCAATGGTCATGCCGAGAGGGGAAACCTGTTTGCATCCTAAAAGTCTGCAGGGAGGGCAGGCACCAAGCAAGGACCAGTCCTGAAGCCATCAAGGTGAGACCAGAGACAGCTCAGGCTTGCGATGAGAAGAGAGATCTGAGCAACCACATGGGAGGAGGAAGATGCCAGAAAAACCAGGGCCCAAATAGTTTCCAAAAGGGACTATGAGAGGGGATCGCAGTTGACGGGGAGGCTCTTCCAAGCCCGGCCACAGGACCCCAGACCAAGCCCATGCTGCTTGGGTGGACCCTGACTCCCTGCTTGAGGGGAGGCTCACGTCGTTCTGAAATGCCAAATTGGGGTGGGGGGACACGGCTCATACTCCTCCGCACCTTGGCATTGCCCCCTCTGCTCCCGGTTAGCTTTCTGTGGCTGCTGAGCCTTCCTCCCCCCATCACCACCCTCCTGCAAGGCAAGACCAGCGTGGTCACCCTCTTCTTCAGCCAGGGAGAGGCACGGGATGGTGGTGGTTTATGACAGAGGAACGACCAAGGAGCTCAGCAGCAAAACCAAACCATACTGGTTCTTCCTCCACCCCTAGCCAAGGTCTTCCCCTGGGCTGAGGAAACCCAGCGAAAGGAACACACCACAAATCCCATTATTTGGGATGAGAAAGGGGTTGGACGGAGAAAATCACTGTCAGGCAGCTGGGCTCACTCCATGACTCACCATGGGCTGGGACGGCAGCCGAGGGTGAGGCTGGGCTCTCCCAAACAAGGTTGTATTGCAGCTGCTCAGAGATTTTTAAAGACATCTTCCCAAAGCCAGGGTTTGTGTCTGGGGTTTTTTTTTTCCTCCCCTATCAAAACACAACGTTCCCATTGGAAATGCTCGATGAGTTCTCAAATGCAAAGATAAATGGGGTTTGGATTGCTGCGTGAAGCGTTTCCAGGCAGACCGAGGTCTCCTCCTTGATGACCATCAACACTCCAACTAACTCTCTACATGCCATGCTGGTCCCTGGTGGAGATGGGGTTGGGGGGACGCGCCCCGCTTCCACATCACCAAAACCACCGCAACCACAACCAAAGTCCCAGCAAATCCAAAAGGGAACAAAACCTTCTCATCTGTGATTTTGCCAGTACATGGACCACTGCAGGTTCTCAAGTGATGAACCCAAAGGGTCTCCACCTCACCACTGCAAAGCGAGCCGCAAAGAGCTGGGTAAAGTCTGATTTTGGTCCAACATCTGCTTTAACTTTGTGGTGGTGGGATGCCATGGGCAGCAATGCTTGGCTGAGGTCTCTAGGCACCTTGGCCAACCAAGCTGGTGACCACGAGGTTGGCCAAGGTGGGAAAAGCAGTGTCCCAGCCTGTCCCAGGCTCTCAGGCGTGGGACAGAGGCACCAGGGTAGGAGACACAGGGTTAACAGGACATTTAGAGACCAGAACAGCGTTTGGTACCTGCTGCACAGGGACGCAACAGGTTTTGGCACTGCCAGCTGGCTGGGACCTGCACAAAAGTTGTTTTTTCCATGTTTCAGGCTCTGGGTTTTCCCTGGCTTGCTGCGAGTGGGAACAGGGCCACCTCTCCCAATGACCTCCAGAAAGCACAAGCTTGGCCTCAGCACCGGCCAATCTCCCACTTCCAGGACCTGCTCCGGATTAGGCTCAAGAAGGGGTCTGGAAACCCTGAGCATGTTTTCCTGGATCTGGGCAGAGCATCAGGTTCACGAGGGAGCCAGGAAACATCTCATGCTGTCCCTGAACCACCTCACCAGTAGTGTCCACAGCCCTGCCACGATCCGGAGGCGTGGCATCGCATCTCGCCAAGGGGCTCGTTTGGGATGCTGCTGGCTGTCTTCTTCAACCAGCCCTGGTAACGAAGCCCGATTGCTGTCGGGGTGGGGACGTCTCCTCCCAGCCGTCGCGCAGCTTTGCCGAGGCAGCTGCCTTGGCTCACCCCAGGGATGGTGTCATCTGAGGGCTGGATGAAGCGACTCTTCCGAGTCGAACACGTGCGCTGGAGCTGCGGACGCTGCCTGGAGCTGCCAGGGGAGCTGCTCCTGCCAAACCAAGCTTGTGCCGGGTCCAATGTTGGCGTCTCCTGCTAGGGAGCCAGCCCAACCTCCCTGCTCCAGGCAAGCAAGCAGAGGGTGGGATGCAGCCAAGGGAACCCGGGGTCCCAGCCAAGGGAATCTGGGGTCCAGCACTTCTTCTCCACCGCTCAGGTCAAGGTGGTGAGCCACACAGTGTCACCTTCCCGGCTCCACGTGTTCGGTGACCCTGGCCACCAGCACTGTGGTACCTGGGGATGGGAGGGTCCTCTTGCCTACCTGCTCTCCCAGCACCAGGGAATGCTGTGGCTTTGGGATCATTGTCCCTCTTGCACCCTGGAGCATCCCGGGGCAGGGGACCCTTCCCTAGGTGCCGTCACCTCATGTCTGTGATGGCTACAGGAAAACAACAGCTAAATGGGGCACAGAGCCCCACAGCAGGCATAATCCCCTCCATGAAACCACCCAGCTCTGCCTCCACAGCCACCAGCATTCCCTGGTGCCAGGAGAGCAGGCAGGTGACTGATGGTCCAGGACCAGTACCCTATATCCAACATCAGCTGGTTGCTCATCCCGTCCAGGACCAGCTCCACCTCTCCAACCCAAGCCAGTTGCTCATCCCAGCATCCTCATTCCGGCTCTTTGCTGGATGCTCATCAGAGCCTGTGCGTGCTGGAGGACGATGATTGCTTCCCCACGAAGGGGAAGAGCTGTGCAATCGGGGCAGGGATCCAGGCTCCACAGGGATGTTCCCTTTAATCAGCAGGGTGAGGGCTGCTAATAAAGCTGCAGAACTCACCCACGTGAGTCCTGGACACGGCCCTTCCACTTAACGTCTAACAAGGATTGCTCAGAGGGCTGTTAAAAGCTAATAAACCCCAGAAGTTTCCTCCCAAACCAGCGCCAGCTGCCCATAACAGCCCCACAGCCCAGCCCATCTCATCTCGGGGCTGTTTTGGTGCCCACAGCCCCGGGAACTCTGCAAAAGCTGCGGCTGGAGTTGGGGCTGCGCTCAGGTCCTGGCCCCGAGGAGCTGGTGGAGCCGTCGGGAGATGCACAGGGACCAAAGCGGGTCGTCCACCTCGCTGTACTGCAGAAGGTTGTCCAGGATCGGGCCCTCCCGGGCTGCAGCCCCAGTGCGCAGTGGCCCGGCCCTGTCCATCCCAGAGCAGCCCCCCGGCCCCTTCCCACATACCCAACAAGCCCCCAAAGCGTCGTTCCTTTCGCATCCCGTGCACGTGCACTTCTTTTGCTGCAGCAGTAACTTCCAAACCCCTGCCCAGCCCCCAAAAACCAGCAAAACAAGAAAGGAAAAGCTAAAGGGGAGAAATAACTCCCAGTGGCCGAGAAGACAAGGGCCTGATTCTTTGCAGCTGGGCTGAGATATCATCTCCCCCGTGGTAATGGAGACCATCTGCCCCCGGTTCCCGAGCTCCCCGCTGCCCCTGCTCCGCTCCGGTCCCTCTGGGTCGGGAATACGGATGCAAACGTGAAGTTCGCAGGGGGTAGGAGTGGGGTGTGCCTATCCTGGGAAATTATATAGCGATAGAGCCCATCCTTTGTACTTTGTGGATGGGAACCAGCTGTGCTTGCCCACCAAGCTGTGGCTGGGGGCCTCCGGGCCGGGTCG